AGAGAACTGGCTTTACAGCGACGAAGGAACGATCTCATGACGCAAGTCGGTGTTTGGGGTGGTGTTGTGAATCGGTGAAGCTCGTAGTGCGCCATCGGGGCACTAGCATCGGCAGCAAGCTACAGACAACATCACCGGTCACAAGTCGAACGGCCCACGGGAAGCTTTGAACTATAATCACCATAATTGAGAGGATCAGGGATACCTCAAGGTATCTTGTCACAAAACTGGTAGAAAGAACACTCTTTCGAACTATATGGACGTGAGTCAAGTTTTGACACACTTCAGGGAAGCAAAGATTCTCATTTTGTCTATCGAGGGACGTTGAGGCTCTCCAGACACCGGTATCAGAATCAGTGTCAGTAGCAGCAGCAGGCCATCCAAAGAGGTACTCAGCGCGCCAGGACGTACGACCGCCACCGTCGCCATCCACCCAGAGTGTCCGCCCAGCCCAGCCCACTTCCAACATGCCTAAATGCTATAGAGAACTACACTACACACAAGTATCTCAAGGCCTGGCACCACCACGCCAGGCTCAGTCGACCCCTCCTCGATGTGAAGGTCGTCCTCCCTCAGGTCTGAAAGTACGCCTTCGGGTTGAGATCACTGCCAGCTCCTACCGCCTGTCCAGTCCTGCCATGTTGTCCCCACGAATGACCTCGGGGTCTTCGTTGTCGGACTCGTACAGCAGCGAACCAGGCGCAGGCTGGAACGGCTGCTGCTCCCTGGGCCCCTGTTGGCGCGTGGCTGCATAGCTCTCGAGCTGTTCTACCCATTCCCGATACTCCGGATCTTCTTGTAGCTGCCGAATGATGAGATCGCGGACTCTGGCGACCTCTTCGTTGTAGCGGACCTCCTCGAGGTGGGCGTGGAGGCGCCGCTGGCGATCCAGCTCTTGCAGTTGCTGCTGCTGTTGCTGTCGTTGCTGCGCTTGCTGCCAGCGCAAGAGGAATCGGTGCACTGGGGGGAACAGTGCCCGGCGAGCGATGCCACGAGCCGCGAAGGCCATGACGAAGAATGTAGCCATCAGCATCACGAAGATGCCCAGGTCTGAGGCGGCGGCGTTCTCGTTGGGAGAGGGCATGTCGTAGTCTCCTATCGCGTGTTAGAGGGACGACAAAGATGAGAAGGCAGTGTGAAGGGTTCCAACCAGAGCTTACAGGAAGGAAGTTCTTGACGATCGACAGGTTTTCTGGAAACAAGGTGATGAGATATTGCAATAACGGTCACAGAAAGAAGCTGGGAGTCACGTTGGCAAAAGTGAGAGCATGTTTTGCTAGATCACATTCGTTCTTCGCCTTCACCTCGAGTCATCACACACTCAATGAAGCAAATCAGCACGGAAACAGTGCAACTCTGATCAGATCTATCAATTACTCAACAGTGCGGCGAATATGGTAAGCATTCCCGTCACAGTGCTGGAACATGATGACGGGGACCATCAACACTGATCATGAAAGATTCTCAACTGACGAGCCACTCTATCACGGGCTAGCAGCCAATATCAATCACGATGCCGAGAATGATGATAGTGTAGAAGGAGAGCAAGATTCGAGAAACCCGTGAAGCACATTGGCACGAGCGAGCAATCGAAAAGATAATTCGAAATTCTTGATGTATCTTCACGAACGTGCGGCTTGAGCTGGGAGGTGGTTGAGTCATGGTCATATTTCTATTGCATATCGTAGAGGCTACAGGATGGCTTTGATCCTCCAAGTGTATCAGAGCCTCTACGAACCATAGTGTGTCTACACACCCTATTAATCCTCCTCCAACGGCTCGCATAAGGCTCGCGGGACCATGATATCCACCACTCTTTTCGACCAGACTCGTCTCATAGTCTACCAAGCTCATGCTGCGCACCGAGGTTGTACTGTCCGACCATATCTCTCAGCAGCGCCTCGAGCGGCTCATCCTCGACGAAAAGCCTAGCAGTGTGATGATCCGTCGTGACTTGGTCGAATGGCTCATTCGATGTGAGCGCCTTTTGCCAAGCAGACGCGTGAGGGAACAGGTCGAGAATTACGTTCCAGTCGCGCCAGTTCTCGTCGCTCATCGGGATGTTCACGGCATAGACAACGTTGGAGACCATGGTATCGGTACAAGCAGGTGTTTGTAGCTCTGTGCCCATGTACTGGTCGAGCCAGACAAGGACCGCATCCAAGGTGTCGATATTTGCCACGCACTGGCTGCGAATCATGCGGAGAGGACCTAGGATGACAACACGCTGCGGCGTCTGGATTGAGTCAGCAGGTAATTGCTTGTGATAAGTGAAGCGCTTACTCCTGGTGGAGGTGTGACAGCTCTTGTCGAGAAGGCGGCAGAGAATGCAGCAGCTGGAGTTGGATTTGGGTCTGGCGTAGGAATCATCGTTGTCTGCATCAGTGGATAAAACGCAGCAAGGACAGCCGCAGAAGCTGTCGCAGGAACAGGATGCTGTTGAACGGCCACGTGCGTACTGGCACCGAGCATACTATCCACTGCGATGTAGTCGGAGCGGCTTTCGTTTTCCGGTAGAGCGCCCGCCATGAAACCAGCAGACGTAGGGGAAGGCGAAGTGGCGACTTGTTCAGGCTTTGCCCGTGACGGTACGTCGTGCTTAAAGTAGCTTCTGAACCTAGACACAGGAGACGTCGGAGTAGTAACTTCTTCAAGCTTGGCCCTTGGGATGGTGGGGAGCGATTCGGGAGACATCTTGAGCAGTCGCAAGTCAAAGGTATGGTCGGTGTGGGTGGGTTGATCAAAAGGTTATACAGCAAGAGGCTACTCAGCTGGCCCGAGCTTGGCGCACCAAGCTGGGCTTCACTTGCGTCTAAAATCTCCTCCCCAGCCTCTCCAAAAGATTGCCTCGAGCGCACGTGAGATGCGCTACCGAGAAAAGGCTACATTACACCATAAGGTTGATTTTAGCTGTCGCAAGCATACGCACATTGAATAGCCGCGTTATGGCCTGCTCTTGCTATGAGACGAGTTATCACGGCAAATCACATGTAATGACCTGAGAATCATCGATGCCCATATTCAGTTCTGTTACGAACTCTTCTCAAGAGACTCCCATTTGTATGTACCTTGTCTTTGGATCTCCTACATGCCACCCTTCAGCCACGACAGCCACCAACGTAACCAGCTTCAACAATCAAGTAATAGCAACACAGGACCTCCCATTCATTCCCAGATTCGATGTGTGAAAAGCCAGTGTGCACATGGTCCCGAGCGATCATTGATTTAGGTGTGGCTGGTACTATTTCTCGTGGTCAGATAACTATGACATACGGCACCATCAGGTCTTCCGGGTGGAAAGTGATTGATCACTTACATTTTGTAGACTTGAACAGATGATAGTCAATGTGCAAAGCTCTTGCCGACTTTGACCGAGCGGAGCTTGACTTGAGTCCGAAGTCGAGCAAGTCGACGATCGAAACAACGTTGCTTTTGTGCGTGGTACTGTGTAACGATGATGCTGGGAAGAGGCTAGTCGGGTCTTCTGGTTTCAAGCACAGCAATGCCGGATCCTGATGCTGATCATGGTATGTGTGGTGGGCAAGCCTGCACGCATAGTGTGCGTAGGGAAGGTCTGATTGTGTCAGTCTGGAGTCAGGAAAGACGAAGATCACATGTGCGACAGTTCTAAGGATGGTTACCTGGAATGACAAGAAGTCGGTCGATTGCTAGTGAGGTGACTCGAGTTTGGCAGGTGCCAGTGACATCGAGACAACGGCGTTCGAGACTGGCCGACGCTTACGGACGGCGCTTGTGTGATACAGACATCTCAGGGAAGTCGGTTTGTTCGGCTGACCTTGATATTCATCGATCGAGAGAGAGGAACTGCACTTGTGAGACTTCTACAAACAGGCTCAGAGTGAGATGCATACCTTGGCACGCGCGGTGCTGATACCTATGCTGTCATGCCGCACCTACAGTCGCCAATCTCACGATGCACACCAAGCGATGTGCTACATGAGAATGACGGCTGCAGGTGCGGCATGTCAGCACAGGATGTCAGACCAGCCGAGAAGCACGCACGGGTATCGTCTGCTGAGCTGGAAGGACGGTGGCGTGCAGAAAGGTGATGCTGTTATTTTCGGCAAGTGCTACAGTCAGGTTAATGGCTTCACCATACACCTGTAAGACGCCGATTACTTACTAATGCACGATGTAAGCGAGGCTGTGTGAGGGTGTGTGTGCCGATGTTGGGGGAGGGAATATGCCAGAAGAGGTTTAAAAGGGCGAGCCAAGAGCAGGTACACTAAGGCTACGTCATTGGCCCTGCTTGTTGCGTACTGACGTTTCCTGATAGCGAGTATCGTAAGGGAAAGAAACACTCTCAAGATGCACGAGATAGGCTATGTCACAATGCGGCTTCAACTCGAAGCTAGATCCTGCTTCTATTCGTGTTCTAGAACAAACTTATGTAACGCTTTGCAGGAACACAATCCTTTCTTATTTAGATACCTTGAGCGGGATTCTCCTTCCTCCTCCGCTACCATTCCATCTAGCTTCTCTTCCATCTCGCCATTGACAACGCCCTCCTCATCAGGGAGTGGATCTACGGACCGTACCACACATCCTAAGGAACATCATTTCGGTTTATTGATTTAGCATAGCTTTATGTAGGTACTCGGATCCAGCAGCAGAAGGGAACTTGGTTTCGCGTCGAAATCCCACAGCATCAAATAGTAGGCGGCGAAACACATGATTGAATACTCGGTTATTTTGAAGACAATGGGTTTCTGGACTCACATTGGTCAGTACCAATGTCATGACTATGCATGAACAATGTGCTCAAAAGAATTTAGCCTCCTGTACAGATTGTCCCTCCAGTAAAGAGCTTGGCCTGATATCTTTATCCATCGATCCCTCTCTCATCATCAGCTCTTCCTTGTAATATCGTAACGAAGGCCCCAAATTTGATGGAAAAGGTACCGGTCGATGGTGTGGAAGCCTTGGGTGTGCTGCCATGTGATTTGACTTCACGAAAGAAGTGATTGATCGCCCAGCGGTCATGTTATCCGATGGTAGTCGAAGCTGGGAGGTTGATGGACTAGTAGGGAGCGGCGGTACGATTGGGAAAGATGGGCAGCGATGGCTGGTATTGCTGGGCCTTGTCCAAGCCCTGGTAGGTCGCTGTGGGGACCAAGACCCGCTTTGACTGTACAACGAGTGAGGCAGTAGAGGGGCGGTTGTGCCGGTACTGAGATTGTGCCGACGTGACCGTCGATTTCGAATCGGGTCCGGTGCTGAGTCTTTACTGCTTCGCAGTCCAAGCCGACCTCGTACGCTTTTAGTTACTGTCTGTAGCGGAATCAGGCCCATCTGTTCAAGCCGCTCCTGCATGAGTCGATCCTCTTTGCGCTTCCGTTCTTCAGAAGTCATTGGGCGCTGCCTTCTGCGGAAGAGAACTCGAGTATACCAAGCGTACAACGCTGCGAGGGCCATGACGACGGAGAGGACCGCAAATGGTATCAGAACCCCAGCCACAACAACCTTCCAGTGCTTTTGTCCCCTGTTCACGATTAGCATTCCAGTCAATAAGATCCGTATCAGGTAGTAAGATATACCAGCTTTGCGGAGCTCCAACATGTTTTGAAGGCCCTTCAACGTCAGACGAGGTGGTGCCAGTCGGTGGTAACGCTGTCAAGGAGGTAGCTGATGCTACAGTCGCCACATAGGTAGATGATGCTGTACTTGGTACGGAGACCGTCGATTTGGCCTGGAATGACGAGGTGGGAAGTGTTGGTGTGCTTGTTGGAGAAACTATTGGAGACAGCGTCCAGTATGGACTTGATACGCCACAGAGAGAACCATAGTATCGTTCAACCAAGGTTTCGTCTTCATGACTGCAGCTGATACCACACATCTCGCCGACGTTGTTCAAGCTGCGAAGCCATTCGTTGCGGCAGAAAACAGTCGACATAGGCAGTATGATTACCAGTGCCCAAGTAAGCGTTCGGAGGTACACAGCGAGAAGCAGTCTCCAACAGTGGTGTGCAGCGTTGAGCACATATGGGCAATATACCGAGATCGAGGAAAGGCTGAGCGGTATATGGGAGCGCGCTCGTGATGTGGAAGATGAAGGTAAGAACGGCGAAGACTGTAAGGAATTGCATGGTAGCAACTGATTACTCTTCGGTGAAGTAGGAGGGGGGATTTGTACATGCAGTAGCTGCAGTGGTGAGAGACTGTATAGCGAGGTAAGTTTGTGGTCACGGAGCAAGCTTAGGTAGGTACTGTTGCTGCTGGCTAGATAAACGCTAGACCGAAAGGGAGCGGACCCACATCAGGCAGTGCCTTGCAGACTTGCGCATGAGCCCCAATTCATACCACTCAATTGGTTCGTGTAAGCATGTTGCTGCTTCACTCTCCTACAGCAGATGCTGGAGTCTCTCCGACCATTCATAATGACAACCACAATGTATACCGAACTCCCTGTTGAACACCTGCAACTGCGAGGAGGCAAATGTCTTTCTCACTCATCGCTTATATCTCCTCCTCGTACGCACCCTTCATCAGAGTGACTTTGACATTTTCGTGCGTCTCTCTCCTTAATCTCGATTCTCTCTCGGTTTATACACGTCACGCCAGCAGCATGATGATTTTACTCAAAGCTCTTTGTACCTGCACATGGTCTCTCAGATGATCTTCAGGCTGCGATGCGTTGTGTCACTGCTCTGCTGATTCATTACCCTGACGGGACGATGTCTTCGAAAGTGACCTCTGAGCTAATCATCAGCGTTGGCAGATACTTGAGATCTTCGGCGCACTGGCACATTGCTTCACTGTCTCCCAGAGCTGTAGTTTTGATGGTGCTTGTCGACTTCGCTCTCAAGCCATACCCCTCCAATTGCTTTTCGATGCGCGTCCCAATCCAGATATGACAATCGCCTAGTCTGACGAGGGTAACAACACTAGCTTCGTAGGAGCATATCAGAAGGAGCTGACAGTGCATTTGGAAGCATGTGCATCCCTCAGGTTCGATTAGAAGAAGGTACACACGGGAGCCTTCTCTGCATACCAATGGCATTCATCAAGATAGAGCATGTTGTGAGAATTATATATTGAGAGGGAGTAGAGTATCACTGCTAAGCCACGCATTCTGAAATCAATCACAAACCCACTGTAAACGCACCGTAAGACTGCACGGGTGGCGCAGCGCATCCAACAGAGTTACCAGTAGATACGCCGTTTGAATGGGAATCCATGGTACTGATTTGTGAGAGTAACTCCGCAGCCCTGCTCTTTGAACAGTTGAAGATAGCAGCCTGCAACACCGGACTTGGCAGGAGCCGTCAGACGTGCAGTCACTGCACCATTGACAGGCTTTGATGGTCAGCTTGTTGTCACCCAACGTCGCCGGCAGAAATCTACTTACAATATTGGCAATAACGCACTGGGCCTGGGCGATTTCCCAAGTTTTCCCTGTGCCATCGCTAGTGGGAGGCTGTTGTATAACGTTAACATCGCCAAGAATCTTCACCGGGAGAGCTTGACGAACGGTATTGTGATCAACGCATGTATACGACGGATACACGGTGACTGATGCTGTGGCAGGCGACCGCAGGAGCCTTAGCGGTACCTCCCTTAGCAGGAGCAGCGAAGGCGGTGCTGAGAAACGCGGCACTGGCAGACAGAATCTGAGAACTAAGGTTAGTCGGACAGCGAAGTAGGTGTGCGAGATCAATGACTTACTGCTAAGAAATGCATTTTGAGTTGTCGAGAAGTATGCAGTATCAAGTGAGAGGAAGATAGGTAGCTGTGCTTTTTGACCTGAGATAGACGGGTACTTGGTTCTTCAGTGGAAGTGAAAGTAAGGCTTTTGAAGATGTCGATAAAGCTTCTTTTCCGCATGCGGTTTCAGTATTTATACATAGTGGTCGACTTCTAAGACGCCCACGTAAAATCGTGACGAGGCTAAACACCTGCGTTCTAGTCTCGGCGTTTGTGTGAAAAGCACGTCTGGAAGACTGCACGACCATTGTGCACAATCCCATTGAGTGGCTGAGAACTACGGCTGGGAATCTGGACTCAATGTGTCCGGCGTTCTCGGAGGTTACATACCTGGTAGCGAGGCAGCGCGTGGTGGGCTCCATTGTCCGTTCAATGCTGGATCCACTCCTATGGTATAGTCAGCGTGATCAAGGGCATTTGCCTGCGAAGCCCCATCTCTATTTCGCACGCTAGGAAGATGGTCTAGAGGTCTTGCCAAGTGTAAGACAGATCTGGCACCTTTGTGGCGCTGTGCGATCGGCACTTGTTCGCTTGTTCATCTAAATCGGGCACAGTTGAATGTTGATGGCTAATTTAGTTGCATACTAGGTCTGAATCCGGAATCGTAATGTGAGGCTGAAGATATGGAGTAGGGCTGGACCGTCAGGGTTGCCGGCGCTATTCGCAACAGGTTAGCCGTATGGCTCTTTCCCTGAGGAGATCGAACATCAGATGTCAACTCTTTTGGGCAGTTCAAGACTTAGCCTGGCTTTGACATTGAATCTTGCAGTGGTTGCAGAAAGTGCACATGTTGCGACTGCCCATAGAAGGACCGTGCGATCTCATTTGTGACATTGGCAACATCTCTTGCAGGCTGAGAGTGCTAGGTGTTGGCGGCAAAGATCGCGGCGACCACGAAATGCGGGGTTCCGAACTTCAAGATCCAGCCGCTTTGTGACTGGTCCAGCCAAGGAAACGGATATGGTAACCGAGAATACGGAAGACGTCCTCGGACTTGCCTTTACCGGACATCGAGCGTGCATCCTACATATGATCCGAACCTTCGGCCTCGCAAGCGACGCCGCTATAGTTGCACCGATGCGTTGCCAGTGGATTGAATAGAAGGAGAACGAGTGTGAGCGTGCATTTCCCTTCCCACTCGCCTCTCTCTGTACAAGAGCACTCGAAAGCAAGATTCGCAACATCCTCTGTCCGGATTCCCGGGAATCGATGTGTGCAGCAAAATGGGTTTTTCGATTGCTGTCGGGATATTGCTGTAGTGATCAGCTGTATCTGAAAGAGGGATACGGCTTGCTGGAGGCCACACTTGTTTCGTGCTCCTCTTTCTCGACACGAAAACCACTCGAGTGATCGCTCACAATAACTTGGTTGCTTATTTCCTACCCCGAGACTGTAGACGTGCTTCAAGACCCGCTGCCTCTAGTCAATCTTCGATCGTCAAGGGATCTCGGTCCCTTATGTCTGCATAGCGGAGCCTTCTGATCAATTGTATCGCTTGCATCGCTAATTATTTACTGTCTTGCTCAAGTGCTAATTTGAGCGTGATTTTACTGGCTTCTCTATCCCCTGAGACACCGCTCATACTCTGGTGTGATTGTCGGATCTGCGGTATTACTGGCCTTACTCATTTTGATAACGTGTTACGCTGTAATCATTGTGGTTGAAACTCGGATGTAGGAGACACGAGTGCCAATGGAGCGGTGTGTGTTCTCAAGGAAGGTTTTGCTGGGCGCGCTCTCTCTCCACTCTACGGCAAGCACGAGTGTCCTGAGACAGCTGTTACCTTCCGACGACAGATCTGGGTTATCAACAGCTGGACTTCCTTCAATGTCTATATGAGCGGACAGTCTTCTTTGGGTGGCGTACTGTCCTCAGGGTCGTAGTGAACATGTTGATCATGGAATTGCAACACTAACGCCGGCTCGGATCGTTTATTGAAGTGCCGGGCAAGGGCACAATCGATGTTGGGACGTACACCTGCAGCGTTGATTGAGTACTTTATCCAATTGTAGATGGAAGTACGTATGTCAGCGGCGAATATGAAGAAGATGGTAATGTAATTGCTTGCTACTGCCCTGGCGAAATCAATATCAGAACCAGAGACAGGACGTACGGGAATACGTTTGCCGGTATGTATCCTGGCTCCCTGCGCTGGAGACGTAGGTAAGGGCATAGAAGAAGAAGAAGAAGAAGAAGAAGAAGAAGAAGAGAAGAAGAAGAAGAAGAAGAAGAGAAGAAGAAGAAGAAGAAGAAGAGAAGAGAAGAAGAAAGAGAAGAAGAAGAAGAAGAAGAAGAAGAAGAAAGAAGAGAAGAAGAAGAAGAAGAAGAGAAGAGAAGAAAGAAGAAGAAGAAGAAGAAGAAGAAGAAAGAAGAAGAAGAAGAAGCAGACGCCATTTCGATTAATTGCATTGTTGTTTGGGAAAGTATTGTACAGGTGTGGTTGTGCTAGTGTAGGTGCAAATTCGGCGTCAGGATGGATTTGACGACCCTACGCTTACTCTACAAACTGTTAGCATGCCGTATTGACTTGGGCTTGTAAGAAATGACCACTTTTCCGTTCTGGCGTATGATGCAGATAACATTGTAGCTCTAGGATCTTTAATAGAACAGCTGAAAAAAAATGCGTTCATAGCGTCTGTTAATGCAGAAGAGAAGAGGGGATTCGCAAGATGGGTTGGATACCACAGGGTTTGGAGCGCGCAGACTTTTGAAGGCGATGCTCGTGCTGAGAGCATCCTCAACGTCTGTAACAAATTCCGTTATTCGATATATGGATGACTAGAGAATAGCTCAGTAGAGGAGTTCCCAATGTCAGGTCGTCCCGATTGGATGGGGTCAAAAGTCATACCAATCTTGTGTGGAATACTACCACGGGTACAACATCGGCGGCGAACATGTAGATAACATAACACAGATGATAAAAGACATGTAAAGACGGAAGAAGATATATGCAAAAAGTACAAGGACTATACAATGCAGTCCGGTGGTGCTGACCTGCAGACCATATCACCACGTTTACTCACGTCCCCCACACGGCACAGCGACTCGAAATACTTTTCGTTAACAGCATATATGCTCAGTTGGACTCGATTCTTCGTGATCGCCGCACAGCCACTCCAGATACACACTGGCATGCCCAGACATCGTCCTTCTGTCCTACACTCGACTCAGCTGTTAAACAAGTCTTTCGTCGCAAACTCGGAACACGAAAAGACAGCCTATAACCCACTGGATCGAGAGTACGCCGTGGAGGAAGGCGTATGCGGGTGGGTGCCACGTGCGCAGACAAGCTCTTTGGTTGAAGGAGGGGTCAGAACCACTGGTGAACTACGAGAGGGTACGCTGAAGTGGCCAAAGTCTACATTTATGACGGGAGCGTTCTGTTGGCAGATGCTCATCTCTGCAGTGCTTGGCGACGTCTCCGCCGTCATGAATGTTCCGTCAAGGTGAAGCCCAGTGTTCACTTCGTGGACTGTTTTATTAAAGTACTCACTGTGCTCAAAAACATGGCGTTCCAGTCGCTGGATCTGTGTAGGTCGGTTCTGAGATGGTCTGCGTTTGCAAAGTTAAGCCTCGAAGTTCGCCTGCTTTGTTGCCGGGCATGCGCTGTGGTGGGACGTGCACAGAGGCGGCCCGCTATCATGGCTGTCCGACATGACGAAGTACGCGATAAAGGGTCCTAGAGCAAAGAAAGTGCTTGTAATGTCAATCTTGCGTGCCGGGACATGTGTGCCGGGACACTTTCCTTCCGGGGATCGGAATATTCCTAGCAACTGTACATGACAATACAATGCGTGTTCATTCTGCGCTCTTATTCTCGCAGCACATCAGCGTCCGACGCCAAAAAGCGCGTTGTGACCACGTTGGTTCGTCTGTCAGCAGTCCATCAACTGTCTCTGATACCCCCTGTTCGTTTGCGCCAGCAGTGGTTATGTAGTGCTCGGTGGCCTAGAAAGCAAGCCATATGTGAAAGATCATGACTGCCGGCTGAGAGGGTTAAATCGGGGTATGGAGTGTGCTTCCCGGCAGTTTCTCCGCGCGAACAGCAAGATCATCGATACGAGTCTGACCAAACGTGCACGACTAGCGGCCCTGGCATGCAGTAGCTCACTCTAGCGTGCTGAGATATCTGTCATAGATAGTGCGGCGCTGTGGCTGAGGGCTGTGGTCGAGGGCTGGCGGGCTCTAATAATCACCTAACCTTGGACAGCTCTTATTCCCGGTCGTGTGTTAGTTATCCGTTTCCGTAGTAGTGCTCATTCCGTTACACTGCGCAATTTCTTACTACAGTAAATGCATCAAAGCTGTTAGTAGTTATTAACGTACCCCACGGGCGAGCGGATCAACGGGCGAGCGAACACTTTTGCCAAGCCCCCACCAAAGTATCCTCACATACCAATGCCTCAACAACAACCTAATCTTAACGCGTTAAAGGAAGCTCAAATACAGCTTGCGCTTCAAGCTCTTAAACAAGACGCGAAACTCTCACAGCGA